GTCTCCAGCCGTCTTTTATACCACTTAGGGAGAGCTCTCATCCATCTCCTATGCAAAATAATAGAAACTACCTCTCACTACCACACCTGATCATTAAACCATTAAAATTACCATACAAAGTACCCGCCCTCTGCCCTTACCTCATCCTCTATATACTCAGCGTGAGAACCCTTCACAACTTAAATACAAGACAATGATCCGCAATTATATTATTATCTCTATAAAATATGTACGCAAACTAAATATTTGCTATGTGTGAAATAGCAGAAAACTCAGTACTGTGAAAACTTAGCCAGATTAACCACTATACACAACCCAGACATACATCCTTTAGGTACCTCTTTACATAATGCAAGTGTACTTTTATGAAAATTCTACTTTATAGAATCCCTAATGTCTTCATCTTAGCGTCTGAAAAAATATATATTGGCTGCCATTGATGACCTGAACCAGGGATGAGTGAATCTGCCTGCGTTTTGTTTGCTAAGGGGTTTGGAGAATCCATTTTAACCATTTGAATACAAGCCTCTAATACCCCATTTTTTCCAGGCCATTTTTCAGTTTTCAGTACCATGATCATTTGACTTACAATTACTTAGTTATACAACAATGTACCTACAGTAAATAAGTTGATATGATTTTTTGAGACAGATAGAGCTTTTGTTTGATGGTATTTAGTAACCACTGCATTCCTATTTATCTACTATGTAAGAAATATACTATATAAAAAAAGGGCAAAAAATATGAAAAAAAATATTTTCTTACTTTCTGCTGTAAACTTTTTTTTAAATAAAATGCCAGAAAAGTCCCAACATCCTCAGAATAATCCCTTTTTGAAAAGTAGGTACCAAAAGGTGATCTAATTATTTGCCAAAACTTTTGAAAAAGAGGAAACATGCTAGTGTTGAGGTGGGTAACAGTGGTAACAGTGCACTAGATACAAATAATGTAAAGGTCATACATAGAGGAGGAGGAGATGACGGGATTCATGTACAAGTCACAGACTGGAAATGCGATTATGTTGCCTAGTTTAAATACTACTACTTATGCCACAATTGTGATAAACATACATTGTGGTTAGACAATAACAGCAACTTTATAGCACCTGCAGGTTCCATATAAAATGATCACTTGGTAACTGTTAAAGTCACAAGTATGATCTTTTTTATTATCTTTTTTTAACAGAAATAACTATACTCCTATGTTTGTCTTATCTACGTCTTAAAACGTTCTCAATACTAAATGATCCTAATTCTCTAAATTCTGGAGAGGGTTCTGGCAACAAGCCATAGTAAAGTTCCCATCTATAGAACGATTAAATTCCAAGGATGAATGGAGAATACCATTACATTTTGAATAATTTACTACACACACCTGTTTTACAGTATTTTGGAAAATCTCTGTGGTTATTACTCTTCCCTGTAGATAAGAATAAACCAATCTCATGTTGATTGTATTCTGATTGTTATCTGTGGTATCAGTCATTTTTGGGAGTGGGTAGATCTCTCATGGCCTGTCAGTGAAATATTTGGCATTTTTTTGCTACCTGTAGGCCCAGGTTATACCATTTTAATCTGTTGCTACAAAGTGATTCCAAAGGTACATTAAAAAAACAAAAACAAACATGTTTTACATACCTGCTCAGTGCAATGCTTTTGCACAGAGCAGCCCTGTACCTCCTCTTCTCACATCCCCCACCGGCGCTCCTGGCTTCTTCCCCCACCAAATGCTCACCATAGCAAGCCACAAGACACACACAGTGCGGTTTGGCCCTGCCCCCCACTCCCTCATCACTGGATTTGTTTGAGGGCAGCAGGAGCCAATGGCTTCTGCCTCTCTCACAGGGAGTAGATTTACGAAAACAAGAGTATGCAAAATCTGGTGCAGCTCTGCATAGAAACCAATCAGCTTCTGGGTTTTATTAACAAAATTTTACAGAACAAGCTAAAGTTAGAAGCTGATTGGCTACCATGCACAGCTGCACCAGATTCTAAGTGCACCAGTTTTAGTAAATCTCCCCTACCGAATAACAGATCTAAACAGATGATTACCAGCTGATGTAAAATTGTTGTAAAAACCATCTTTATCATTTTCTTTAAAAAAAACCTGAAACAAATAGAATGCCAGTGCAAAAGGACTCTTATGCAGAGAATGCAATAAGGTAAAAAAAAACCTTTAGCCTTTACAATCACTTTAAAGTGGAACTTCACTCTCTCAGTCAACATTGACTATTTTTAATGCTTATGCTGCTAGCATTAGTAAGTAGACAAGAAAGTACACCATTTTTACGTGCATTAACTTTTTCTTTTTATTTAGGAAGGAAGCAGTTTCCAGTATATTCATACAATAAAAGAGAATGAAATATAGCCATAGATAGAAAATACAACCATTAACATCTGGTAGTCCATTACTGCCAAACAAAGTAGTAAATCGGGGGCAGTGATGTGTATAGACCTGGTGAAGTGAAGTGTTCACTATTATAGCCAAAAGTAGATCCATTTTGTGAAAGCGTATAAGCAAGGCCTAAAACAACAGAAAGGTCTAGAGACCAACCGTGGACCACATAAAATGGTTGCAAGAAGGGCAGATAGAAGACCTATCCATGACAGGAGAAGAACTGCTAGAATTTTTTTTTTTATAATAAGGGAAGGAGGGAGTAAGAAAAGGGATAAGTGAAGCAGAAAGGAGAAAAGAAGGGAAAAAGAAACAAAAAGTGTGTGGCGGGGGAGGGGTGGGGTTCAAGGTTTACCTGTTAGATGGGGAGGATCCACCCACACCCATCATCCCATGGAACTCATGGCAAAGAGGGCACTACCCTCCTCAGAGTAGACAAACATGTTCCACAAAGTCCAGGTTTTGAAAAATGGTTCTCTTCTATGCACAGAGAGTACCAGATCTTCCATCTGGTTTAGCTCTTCAACCTTATTGAGTCAGAGTCCAATAGATGGTGGCTGCGGATTTTACCAGGTAAGAGGAATGGCTGATTTGGTGGTGTTCAGGAGATGACGTAGTACTGATTTTTTTTGTAGGTTTTGGCAGGTATGTTTGTGACGTGAAGGAGAAAAATGCAGAGTCTTCTGGGATAACGAAATCAGTAACTGTTTGGTTAATCCCGCTGATCTCTTTCCAGTAATTGCTAAGCTTCGGACAGGACCAGCAGATGTGCAGTAGCGTCCCCTGCTCCTCCTGGCCTCCCACAGCAATCAGTAACAATCGGGAACTGATAGCATCCAGAATCAATTAAAGTGTGGAGCATCTTGTCCCTATGACCTGGGGGTAAACGTGAGTTGCCGAAGTGGAGAGGCATCGGGAGACAACGTGGTGGTGTAGAAAAGTGCGAACCTTAGGTCCTTTCAAAGGGTGAGCTTTGAGAGAAGAGAGTAAATCAACATAGCAGCACTGTGTTCCATGTAGTGGTATCCAGATTTGGGCCAGTTCCAGTTGGGGCCAGAGTTTAATGTCCGCGTGGTGGCACAGATGATGACTCTACTCACGTGAGCTGCCTGTATTTTTGTAGATCCGGAACGGCCAAACCTCCAAATTGTTTAGGCAAGGTTAATAAACGACAGCAGATCCAGAGATGTTTATGAAGTCAGTGAAAAGACAATGAATTTATTTAAAATAATGAGTAAGAATGGCATAAAAATGTTGGCAATATGCTAATTTTGACAATGTTGCAGCGTCAGAGACGCTCCACACTTTGTGTTAAAAGTCTACAATACAAAGGCCCATAATGTCGGAGCAGATCTTGAAAAGGAATGGCTTGAGTGTTAGGGCAAAGATAAGGGGCGATAAGGGACACCGCTGTGTAGTCCCATTAGTGATGGAGAAGGGTTTCTGAGAAGACCCAATTCTCCTTTACCAGTGCGGTCAGTGAAGAGTGTACACTCAGAATCCATTGGAGCATATGGTCTCTGAGCCCAATGTAATGGAAAACTTTCTCAGTGTTCGTTTCCACAAACACACATGGAGTATGAGTCTGGTTGGCAACATGGATCAAATTCAGGATTTTAATGGTACTGTGCTGGGCCTCGCGAGTCAGGATAAACCCGACTTGATCTAGATGGACCAATTGCGGGATATGCTGTTGGAGGCGTGAATCCAAAATCTTAGTAAACAACTTCAGGCCAACATCTAATATCGATATCGTCCTGTAGCTGCAACAGAATGTAGGATCCTTGCCCTCTTTAGGAAGAACTGGGATATGAGCTTTTAAGGTCTCAGGAGGGAAGGACGCTTTCTTCAGTTACTTCCTGGTTTCCATGCCTAGGCAAATGATGCCATACATCCCAGGAGTCTTCAACAGGGGAGGAGGGGCTTTTTCAGCTAAGGAGAACCTCCTGCCTACCTGTCTGAGCTAAGGGCAGATGGATTCCAGTAAGTAACTGCTACATGAATCATCTGCCCTTACTCAAGATGGCCATGGCCAGAAATGCTAGTGGGTGTTTTTCAAAGTGGTCTCTCAGCAAAATAAAGCATGGATATGTGGATGGATGTGTGAATTTGCTTTGAATATTAAAAATGAATTAAATAGTGCTTTGGTTTGTGGTGCTCAGATGCAGTGTACTGTAGTTCCTCTTTAACCGCCTCCCACCTGCCATATAAGGAAATGATGGGCACAAGGTGGCTCTCTCATTCGGGGACGCACAACGCAGCGATCACTGGTGCGCTGTATCCCTGGGACACAGCAGATCACCGATCAGCGGAAAAAGCCGATGACTTCAGCTGTGTCCAATCACAGCTGATCGCATGTAAATAAGGAAATGCCGTTTATAGGCATTTCTCTCCTCACAAGCTGTCACGCTGACAGCTTGTAAGGAGAGGAGAGCCGGTAATTGGCATTCCTCAGAGGGGACATCTACACTGACCATTAGGGCACTGATGTGTAGCCCCATCAATGCCACCTGACAGTGCCCATCAGTGCACATCAATGCCACATATCAGTGCCTACCAGTGCACATCAATGCCACATATCAGTGCTCATCTGAGCTGCCTTTCAGTGCCACCTATCAGTGCCAGTCAGTGCCGCCTATGAGTGCTGCCAATCAGTGCCACCTATCAGTGCCAGTCAGTGCTGCCAATCAGTACCATATATGAGTACTGCCTTTCAGTGTCCATCAGTGATGTGTGTGAATGCCCACCAGTGATGCCTGTTAATGCCCACCAGTGATGCCTGTCAATGCCCATCAGTGATGTCTGTGAATGCCCACCAGTGATGGCTGTCAATGCCCATCAGTGCCACCTACCAGTGCCTCCTCATCAGTGCCCATCAGTGCAGCCTATCAGTGCCCATCAGTGCAGCCTCAGCGCACATCAGTGAAGGAGAAAAATTACTAATTTACAAAATTTTATAACAGAAACTAAGAAAAGAACTTAAAAAAATGTTTCAGTTGTTTTTGGTTTGTTTATCAAAAAATAAAAAACCCAGTGGTGATTAAATACCACCAAAAGAAAACTCTGTCCCAAAAAAATGCTAAAAATTTCATATGGGTACAGTGTTTCATGACCACGCAATTGTCATTCAAAGTGCGACAGCGCTGAAAGATGAAAATTGGCCTGGGCAGGAAGGGGGTGAAAGTGCCTGGTAGACAAGTGGTTAATGTACACTCACCGGCCACTTTATTATGTACACCTTGCTAGTACCAGCTTGGACCCCCTTTTTCCTTCAGAACTGCCTTAATTCTTCTTGGCATAGATTCAACAAGGTGTTGAAAACATTCCTCAGAGATTTTGGTCCATATTGACATGATAGCATCAGCCAGTTGCTGCAGATTTGTTGGCTGCGCATCAATGATGCGAATCTCCCATTCCACCACATCCCAAAGGTGCTCTATTGGATTGAGATCTGGTGACTGTGGAGGCCATTGGACTACAGTGAACTCATTTTCACGTTCAAGAAACCAGTTTGAGATGATTTGAGCTTTGTGACATGGTGCATTATCCTGCTGGAAGTAGTCATCAGAAGATGGTTACACTGTAGTCATAAAAGAATTGGACATGGTCAGCAACACTACTCAGGTAGGCTGTGGCATTTAAACAATGCTCATTTGGTACTAAGGGGCCCAAAGTGTGGCAAGAAAATATCCCCCACACCATTACACCACCAGCATGATCCATTGAGGCAGGATGGATCCATGTTTTCATATTGTTTATGCCAAATCCTGACCTTACCATCTGAATGTCGTAGCTGAAATCGATACTCATCAGACTTAACATTTGTTTTTCCAGTCTTCTACTGTTCAATTTTGGTGAGCCTGTGTGAATCATAGCCACCATTTCCTGTTCTTAGCTGACAGGAGTGGCACCCGGTGTGGTCTTTTGCTGCTGTAGCTCATCTGCTTCAATGTTCACATTCAGAGATGGTGTTCTGCACCTTGGTTGTGACGAGTGGTTATTTGAGTTACTGTTGCTTTTCTATCATCTCAAAATAGTCTGCCCATTCTCCTCTGACTTCTGACATCAACAAGGCATTTTTGTCCACACGACTGCTGCTCACTGGATATTTTCTCTTTTTCCGACCATTCTCTGTAAACCATAGAGATGTTTGTGTGTGGAAATCCCAGTAGATCAGCAGTTTTTTAAATACTCAGACCAGCCTGTCTGGCACTAACAACCATGCCATGTTCAAAGTCAAATGCCCTTTCTTCTTCATTCTGATGCTCAGTTTGAACTTCAGCAAATTGTCTTCACCACGTCTAGATACCTAAATGCATTGAGTTGCTGCCATTTGACTGGCTGATTAGCAATTTGTGCTACCAAGAAATTGAATAGGTGTACCTAATAAAGAGGTTGGTGAGTGTATAAACTGCTATATCTCTGAAGTATAAAAACACAAATGGGTACACAATCAGTACAGCTTAGTTGTGCTCAGATGTTTCTATATTAACCACTTTCCGTCCGCCTGCCCCCAATGTACAGCAGATGGGCAGCAGCTACAGGACCATGGACCTACCTGTACGCCGCTGGGGTTGTTCTGCGACTGCTGTGTCTACTGAACACAGCTGAATGAAAATCCCTGTGAACGGGACCCGGTGATCATGTGATCGCTGTGCGATCACACAATCACAATGACAACAAAGCTGTTATGAATCAGTCTAATTCATGATAGCTCTGCTTCTCTGCCTGGTAAGCTGTGATTGTCCCACAGCTGTCACGTGATACATGGGGCCTATCACAGCACCCTGTACCATGTGGCCAGCTGGAGCCAATCACAGATCACTGTATTTTGACCATAACAGTTCAAAGCAAACATTACATTGCAGGTGCAATAATCTTTATTGCAATGCAACGCAAAGTGTTAAAAAAAATCCCTGATATCTCCCCTCCCTCCAGAGTAGTACAATGTTACTATGGTAACATTGCACTACTCTGATGAAAGTATTTTTTTTTTAAATAGTAAAAAAAAAAAAAATGTTTTTCTTTTTTTTTTTGTTTTAAACTACTTGCTTGCCCGCAATGTGCGGGCGAGCGGCGGCGGCTCTTGGCAAAACGACGTACTCTTATGTTGCTTTCTATTTCTAGGTGTGCGTGCGCGCCCCCTATGCCAGTATGGGGAGAAAGAACACAGCACTGAGTAAAAGCACTACATTTTACACATTACACACACATTATATTAGCACATTTAACCCTTTGATTGCCCTTATTAACACTTTGATCACCCTATCACCAAGCTAGTGCCATTAGTACAGTGTCATTATATATAATTTTTCACTAATGACTGTATTACTGCCACTAGCAACATCAGATAACGTCCGCACACTATTGCACTCAGGTCGCTGATCACCACACAAAAACAGTGTTAGCAGGATCAGCCCCGTTCGCTGTCAGCACTAGCGTTTAGCCCCTCTGCTATTTTTCACTGAAGATTTGTATGAATTGATTGTGGGCCAAAGCAATTTATAACAATACATGGCTGCTCCCCCATATTCAGCTCTTACCAGACAATTTGCATGGAGACCTATCACGGTTTCTGAATTTTACATTTATTTAGGCCTAACCCTCAACATGAGCATTACAAAGAAGAATTGCAGTCATATTGGTCCACAAATCCGATTCATCATATGTCAGCTTTCATGTAAAAACAATCCTAGTGGCCACTGGATGGCTTTTACAAGCAGCAGGAAGGGACATAACCCCCCCCCCCCCCTCCAATGCCGCCTTCCATGGTTTTCTTGGGGTCTCCCGTCCCACAGGGGAATGCGAGAATGCAGCCAGCAGTTCCGTGGCTGACCATAGAGCAAATCGGAGACCGGAATACCTCCAGTCATCTCTATGGTCTAAAAGAATAGAAGTTATGAGCATTTCATCATTTCCATTTCGCCGGATATAAACAGCACCATTTTAAAATTGGAAAAGCATCTGATCACACCGATCTTGGTGTGATCAGATGCTTTCAGGGCAGAGGAGAGATCTAGAGTCTAATAGACCCCAGATTTCTCAGAAAAGAGTACCTGTCACTGCCTATTGCTATTACAGGGGATATTTACATTCCCTGTGATAATAATAAAAGTGCTAAAAAGAAATGAAAGGGAAAGTGTAAAAATAAAAAAAAAAGCAAAATAAATAATACCGTATTTTTCACTCCAGATTTTAGAGAAGGAAAACAAGAAAATAAATATTTTGAACCAATGGACTGCAGACAGAGTACAGGAGATGACCAGAGACTGCGGACATAGTACAAGAGATGACCAGAGACTGCGGACATAGTACAAGAGATGACCAGAGTGTCAGGGATCTCCTCGATCCCTGCCGCGATGGTCCCGGCGCAGGCGCACTGCTCCGCCCTGTACACGGGCACTGGGTCCGGGCCGGCCGCGGCGTTCGAGTTCGCGCATGCGCAGTAGAAGCCGCGGCCGCCCGCTGGGCACCAATGGCAGCGCAGGGCGGGATATTTAAAGGTCCCTGAGCTGTCATTTCTTTGCCTTCTGGTCTTACCTGCTTCCTGTGATCCTGTACCTGTGCCTAGTAAGTTTTTTGACCCGGATTGTTTATTGACCTGCTGATTTCTCCTGCCCAGACCCTTGCTTGCCTGACCTCTCTCCCTGGATGCCCCTCATTAGATCTGACCTCCTGTTGCTGACCTGGCGTGTGACCCGACGATTCTCTGCCTGCTCCCTTGTACCTTACCGTCCTCTACCTTACCGACTCGGCCTGTCTGACTACGCACTTGCTCAGCCATCCATCCATCCCATCGGGGTCACCCGACCTCCTCACATCTGGCTCTCCCTGGTTGGAGCCCCTGGCGAACACCCCTACCACTGACAGGTGTGCCCAGTAGAGGCGACCTGGTCTCGGGGTACTACAAGTCCATCCCCACCATCAGGGGCCCTGGTGAACAAGTGCCCTGGGGCTTAGACTCCGCGCTCTGGGCACGCCTGACCAGTGGAGTGCTAGTGGTGCCGCTCGGCGGTACCTCACAGTACCAGAAGGCCATGACTGAGCCTCGAGGAGGACTCTCCCCGTTGGACGAGGTTTGCAGGCACCTGGCTACCCTGACGCAAGCAGTAAACACATTACAGGACAGATGTCTGCAGATCGAGAATCGGTTTCAGGCCTGCACCATATCTGTTCCTGTTTCACAGGCCCCGGCTCCTGCACCACCGGTCGCAGCAGCCCACGAGCCGGCTCCTGGGCCTTCCACATCACTCCCTATGGCGGAACCCCGAGTACCCTTACCCGAGCGCTTCCATGGGGATCGCACACGCTTTCGGTCATTCCGTGACTCCTGTCTGCTCTATTTTGAACTGCAGCCACGGACCTTTTTGACAGAATCGGTGAAAGTGGGGTTTGTTGTCTCCCTGTTGCAGGGTGAACCCCAAGACTGGGCCCACCGACTAAGGGGAAACAATGATCCTCACCTGGTTACGGTCGACAGCTTCTTTAACGCCATGGCCATCTTATATGATGACCCACAACGGGCGGCCTCGGCCGAGGCCACATTATACGCACTCCGACAAGGTCGGCGGGCGGCTGAGGAATATGCCTCTGACTTTAGGCGCTGGATGGGTGACACTCGTTGGAACGAGTTCGCACTTTTGCACCAGTTTCGTATGGGCCTTTCTGAGGCTATGAAAGACGAGCTCGCCCGGGTGGAGGTGCCCGAGACATTAGAGGACTTGATTGCACTCACCATTAAAATTGACCGTAGGCTACGGGAGCGCAGATTGGAGAGGTCTGGTCAGGGTCGCGGAAATCCCTGGGGGTCTTTTCAGGGATCCAGTCAACATACTAGGCCAAGCATCCAGAACCTGCCGTTTGAAGATGCTCCCGAACCCATGCAGCTAGGCCTGGCACGGCCTAAACTATCGCCTGAGGAAC